TTCACAGTAAGTATTACCACTAGCTATAATGGAACAAACTAAAACAAAACTTTTGAAATCTAGTTTAGAGATTTAAAGTCACCTAGAACATAACTACAGGCTGGGTTTTGAACAAGATAATTTAGTAAGTGTTTAAAATACATACAGAGTCTTATACTCATATGCAACTAAACTGTAAGGAGCTCTCCTAGGTCCATCAAGAAGGAAAATGCAGACAATACTCCATGTTTGCTACATGATGTTTCATTTATTGTCATTTCTAACACCAACAAAATTATGTTAATGTGTTATTCTCAACATCACCATTTTTCAAACATACAGAAAAGTACGGGAAAAAATGGTTTTACTATTGATGTGTCACTAATAACCAAAGTTAAGAAAGCATTTATCCTACATAATATCAATATTTATCTTTTAAGTCCTTCATTTTTCCTTTTCTAAGAAGAAATTTACTGAAAAGCAACTTATTCACATTAAAAGTACAAATCAGGTTATATCTGAGAAGGAGCTAACAAAAAACTGATTCATAAATGCAAATGAGAAAAAGACTAATACTCAAAGTAATGACTATAACTTTTTATTATCAATACCTTTTATTAAGAGAGTACATAATTTTAAAACACTCCCCTATGCAAATTATCTCATAATGCTTACAACCATACTGTGAGATAGACAAAGCAGATACTATATTTATTTTCAAATGAGTACATCAAAGTTCAGGTAATAATATTCTGCCCAGGGTAAACAGGCAGTAAATAATATTGCTTTTTTGGAAGAAATTCTTTGAACCAAAATATAGCCAACAACAACAAACTATATAATGAAATTTACTTGACTAAAACACAAAATTATCATTAAAATAATACTGAAAATCTCTAAAGTAATAAATTAAGAATAGTGGAAGAAAAAAATGCTAAATTTGGTTTCCCCTAGTATTTCAACTACTGCTTTCAAGAGTACAGCATACTACCATCACGAATCCTCATTCAGTGAATCTAATGCATCACAAATAAAGGAAGAAATAATACAGGTTACTCCCAGTGAATCCAGTCCTTTCATAAATGTACAGGCAAACAAGATCAGAGATCACCAAACACCTGAAGAAAACTAACATCACCAAAAAGCAACCATAAAGCAACCATAATAAACAAACTGAAAGAGTTATTCAAAGAGGAGAAACACTTAGAGATAAAATTTATTTAGTGTCCTAAGATTAAAGATTGTTATCTATAAGAGCAGATGACTGTGAACTAGAAAGAGTTCCCAGAAATATAAAATAATAGCTGAAATAAATAATTTAATAAAGGGCTGGATGAAAAAGTCAAGGAAATGTCCCAGAAAAAAAGAGGGGAAAAAAAGACATGGAAAATGAAAAGAAAAATTTTGAAACAGAAGACTGATATAGAAGCTCTAGAAAGTAAATTAAAAAATGAATGAATGAATGAATGCAGAGAACATACAAGGGAAGAAATAAATAAATACAGATGATTTCCCAGAACAAAAGAAAGACCTAAACCTTCATATTCAAAGGATTCACCGAACTTTTTACAGGGTTAATAAAAACGGACTGAAGCCTGTAGTCCCAGCTACTCAGGAGGCTTAGGTGGAAGGATTACTAGAACTCAGGAGTTTGAATACAGCCTGGGCAACATAAGGAGAGCCTGTCTCTAAAAAAAATAAATAAATAAAAATTTAAATCTAAATAAATAAATAAATAAAAATTTAAAGAACTATAACTCATCCTCCTTAAATTTCCTAATTCCAAGGATAAAGAGGTATTAACACAAAAGGCTTCCAGACAACAAAAACAGGCTGCCTACAAAGAAATCACTGATACTAGCATCAAACCTCTTATCAGTAAAACTGGTTACTAAAAGGCACTGGAACGCAACCTTCCAAATTCTGAAGGAAAATTATTTTAAATTTGAATTCTATATCCAGCCAACAATGTTGTCAGGTGTGAAAGTGAAAAAGACACTTTCAAATATGCTGACAAACAGCCACGCACAATTCTGAAAAAATTACTTCAAGAGGTATTCTAAAAAACTGTAAAGTAAATCTGAAATAAAAAGAGGAAAGACATGAGATCTAAGAAAGCATAGAATCTGTCTGAGAATTAAATCAAATAACATGATCTCAGCTGACAATCATACCCAGAAAAAAGTCACTTCACATTAGAACTTAAACAGATATTATGATTAAAACACTGGATAACCAAGCCATATGATGAAGGCATGCACTCTTCTTCCAATGAGGGGGGACATAGCAATTAGAAAATCCAAGGAAAACAGTCGTTGTCCAAACTAAAAGCCAAATTAAAGTATGACAGGATCTTCAGTACCAATAAAGTGTTAAGAAATCCATTTGTTCTCTCGGGATCCCACCCCTTTATTTAGCAGTAAGTATTATTTACATAATCATAATATTGTTTCCCGCTTTCCGAATCAACAATTTAACTATTATAAGCCTTGACAATACAAAATAAATGTTATTGTTGACATAAATGGGGAAGGGAATGTGAGGAATTCAAGGGAAAGATGGTGAGGGGTGCTAATTTTTCCACAACTTATAAAGTGACAAGTTTAAACAAAATGTCTAAGTACTTTCTAAAGTTAACTGTCCAACAGCTGTAAGTTTAACCATAAAGGCAACCAAAAAAAAAATTGAAGAAGGTAGAATAGGTATTAAAAGTTCTTCCATTTTTCACAACGAGGAAATACCAGATTACTTAAGATTGGTTAGCCATAAAACAAAGCTTAGTGTATTATATATAAAACAGGGATAATGATCAGAAGAGTAAAAACAGAAAAGGTCTAAAATGATTAACCTCTGAGGAGAGAAACTAGTTGAAAGGGGTAGAGGGGTGGAAAGATTTTTACTTTTCATTTTATACCTTTTGTGTACTATTCAAATTCTTATGTTTATATGACTATTCTCAAAATAAACACATACACACACACAATCATTAGAACCTTCCTTCCCTGACTGTTGTGAGAAAAACGCTAAGAAATTCTTATTCATTTTTGCTTTTTTCTGTATTTCATGCACAAATACTAGCCTTCCATTATGGTATTTCAGAGAAGATACAACTAATTACACAATCAAGAACCACTCTGAAGCCTTGATAAACATGTGGAGATGGCAATAGCTTATATTTGTGTTAAAACTGTCAAAATATATCCACTCTATTACCTCATTTAATCCTCACAATATTGTTTTAGAGATTAGTAAAGTAAAACTCTAAAAGGTTTAAGTGATTTGCCATCCCCCAAAAGACAAACTAGGGAAAAATGATACAAATATAATAAGTTAAGAAAACAAAAAACAACCACCCTCATAAAGCACTGAAATCTGAAAATGCTGTCCAAATTTATAACATGAGAATAACATGAAAGAAATTAAATTTAACAATACAAATGGTCAGCCGCTTTGGAAAACAGTTGGGCAGGTTTTAGGAAGTTAAACACATACTTCTTATAAAGTTAAATATACACTTACCATATGACCCAGCAATCTCATTCCTGGGTTATTACCCAAGACAAATGAAAACACAGCATACAAAAATATGCAATCGAATGTTCACAGTAGCTTTATTCATATTAGCCAAAAACTAGAAACAGCCCAAATTTCCATCAACTGTTGAACAGATAAACTGTGATATATCCAGACCACGGAATACTACTCAATAATAAAAAGGAACTAATGATACACATAACAACATTAATGAATCTTAAAAGTATTACACTATGTGAAAGAAACCAGACACAAAAGACTATGTATTGCATGATTCCATTTACGTGAAATTTTAGAAAAGCTAAATTATAGTAACAGCAGGTTGCCAGGGTTGAAGGACAAGGACTGGACAAGGGGAACAAAGGAACTTTGGGGGGTAGAGTAAAAGTTCTATATATCACAATCATAGTGTTTGTTACACCACTGAATATATTTGGCAAAACTCATCAAACTCTAACTTAAAATTGCTTAATATTATTGTAGGTAAATTACAACTTGATAAGGCTGATCTGAAAACTCAATAATGTATAATCACATTTAACTACTGACAACAGCTTTTCTGCATAGATATTAACTATAGAACTTTAAGGAATATTAAAAATCAATATTTAAGAGGTAGCTCTTAACCAGAATGTAGATATACAGGAATTTAAAAGTCCTGAGATTGGGAGGAACAGTCCTCATCCTACTCAACTTGGCCATGTGGGTAAACAGCAGTTGCCTAGCAATTAGTCTAAACTCTGTATTTCTAATAAACACATTGACCACATAAGCAGATGATCTCACAGATGATAAACTAAGCTTTAGGTTGAAGAGTTCTTCCTTTAACAATAAAAAATAATAATGCATTTAGGTTATTTATCTAAAGGAGTGAACAAGAAATACTAAAAGCATATAATGAAAAAATAAAAATATGACATTAAACAAACATATACACACACACAAAAAAAAATACTTGTCTTCCTTTTGGTCTTTTACATCAGGACTTTACTTACCCAATTTATGGGATTAATCCATGAGTTTGTAGGTGAACCCTTTCCCCTTTACTACTTTAAGCTCTTCCCTTGCCACCATCCAAACTGGCTTTACTGAATTCTTTTATTCACATATTTACATGTCATTAAATGCATACAAGATATAACTTTTCTAGATATTAAATGATTCTAAAGACATCTCTCCAAAGTATAGAACCTGTGGACACCACAAAAAAATACACTAACTTTCTGTAACATGCATACACACAACAAAACAGAAAGTTAAACCTAACTTCATAACTAGAAAATAAATGATCAAAATCAAGAATTATAAAGAAATTCCTAAATAGCAAGATAATTCCTAACACACATTAAATATTGTTTCTCTCTTACTAGACACAGCATGTCACAGTTTATTTTAACAGCATCAGAAAAAAGATCAACTTCCAAGACACCACTCACTGTTCAGCACTCTTACCAATCATATTATTTTCAGTTTTGTGAAGCACTTACCCCTCTTCTGAACCCAACCTTCTTTCACAATGGTAACATCACTCATGATGGCTCCCCTCTGAGCCCCCAACTTGGAGAAATGGTACTTTGTGATATCAGCTTTAGGGTTTGGATTCTCTGCTGCTGCTGCCCTTCCCACTCTCTAGTGATGACTCAGCCTGGAAGGAAGTATTGAAGAAAGAATTTCTTTTTTTTCCATTCTTGCAACTCACATAAGCAATAACAAACAACTAATTCTTTGTAAATGTCTTCAACTGGCCTGACCTCACATAAAAGTCTAGCTCTTCAAACTGGGGAACTTATTTATTAAATAGTTCTATAATGAATGCATTTCCCTGGTCTTATGACAGATTTCAAATGATAGTGAAATTTTTAACCTGAGAGGTTGCAACAAAAAAATGTCTTAAGAAAACCAGTCACACCTACCCAAATAATACAGAAAATTTTTTCAGTGATGTGTGTTTGAAGTGAAAAGGGAAGAAAATGAAAGTTAAGTGACCTAAATCCCTGTAATTTCAGAAATAGCTATGGCAAAGCTATAATGTATATTTTTAATTGCTACAATTTTATGTAAAATTCAATGTGACAAAAAACCAATATTTAGGTATTCTTACCCTGCCTTCTTCCACTAAATATTTTAGTTAGATAACAATAAGTACATAATATAAAATCCATTAATTTTTAAAACAGATAAATTGAAACAAAGGAAATATGAAAGTAGAAAAAATTGAGTATTCAAGATGTTTCAAGAACGGTTATAGTTGTTTATATCTATTATTCTTGGGTAATCTTCACTACAACCCTATTAGGTACTATTAACTCCAATTCATAGATGGAGAAACTGAGACTCACAGAGATCAACCAGCTTGTCTGATTTTAACACAGCTAATAAACGACGGAGACAGGAGATGAATCTAGACTGTCTGACTCCAGATCCTGCACTCTTAACTCCAAAACTATAGTGCCTTAAGATAAAAAGAAGCCGGAGTAAAAGTCTGCATATTTATGAAAGATGAGCCATAAATTTGGCACAAATCTTTCAAAAAGACAATGCAAATAAAGAAACAATAAGTTTTAATATTTACAGTATCCACAAATCTTTTTCAAAAAGAAGAAAAGAAGTTGCTCAGAAGAAATACAACTCTTCCTGGGACAAAAATCAAATCTATCCCATGGGTCTTCATAATACAACTTGTATTGTAATAAAGTCCTCAAAAAACATCCTTACAGATACAGCAATGAGTTTTACAGAGTTATTTCTTATTGTCCCTCTCAAACTATAAAGGAAAATGCCAATGTAAAATTAAGTAAAACACTTGCACAGAAAGGGACCAAAATATGTGGTCCAGAAACACAGGTAAAAATTTTAGATAACCAGAAAAATGGATGGATGGACTACACAACCATACTCTCTCAATTTGGGTTTTGATAAATAATACATAGCAGTAAATTTAAGGTTACACTCCCTAGCTAGTACTGAACTAGATTATAGGTCTTGCTCCAATGCAAATTAAGTACAGAGCCTAATCATTTACCAGTCAGGAGTCAAGACCAAACATCTTCTTAACAGCCTGACAAAGGCTATGTGGCTGGATAGAAGACCACCCCCCTCATGTGTCACGGAGCTGACAGCAATAAATACATAAATCCTACGCATAAACCCGAGACTCCTCAAAATCATAATCATAAGCCTCTGCTGCTGTAGAGAGTCAAAAAGGGACATTAGAATGTGGATATAATTTCCCAAAATATGTTTGACAGAATACTAAATTAGAGAAATTCAGGGAAAATAATGAAAAGATTTAAAAAAAAATTCTATGGCCAAATAAGCTTGGGAAATTCTATGAATCATGTCCTTCTCTTGAAATGTCGCTATGAGCATATTAAAGATTCTAAAATATGTATAATTTGTTTATCACAGCAAAGCCTAAGCTTATTACTGCCATACGAAATGGTCACATAATTCAAGGCAAGACCCATCTTGCCACTAAAAACAGGCAAAAAAAAAAAGCCTTTAGTAAAGATTCCTAACAGCATTTTATTTTGATTGACACAACATCCTGAAGAACCCAATACGGTCAACTGGCTGCATAATACATAATAAAGAACTAGGTAACTGACAAGGTTAACTCCTTATTAGTACATAAAGAATTGTAAGTTAAATACTGGAGGACATTGATGCAAGAGCTGCACTGTAGCCCTTCTCCTTGGTAGTACTTGTAGCAAGGGGCTCAACATCTATTTAAGCCCTTCTTGGTTTCTTACTCTAAAACTATATAATCTGAGTAAAAGAGAATTCATATCTTACTGTTCCTAGGAGTGGAAATGGAAGAGAGACCAGGATAATCATGATTAGTAAAAATAAAAAATAATACATATCCAATAAACATATATAAAATATATACTTTCCTATTAAAATAATTTATATCACAACATCCTTATAAAGAACACTAGAAAAACAAAAGTATTTTCAAAACTGATTCTGTTTTTAGACGTGGATATTTTATTATCAGAATCTTTTTTTTATTTCAAAATATTACAGGAGTACAAATATTTTTGGTTACATGCATCACTTACGCTATGCTTGAATGAGAGTTATAAGCGTGCCCATCACCCGGATAGTGTTCATTGCACCCATTAGGTAGGTTTTCGCCCATCCCTCCTCCCTCCACCCCCCTGCTTGATTTCCACTGAGTTTTACTTCCCTCTGTACACATGTGTACTCATTGGTTAGTTCCAATTTAATATCAAGTACATGTGGTGCTTGTTTTTCCATTCCTCAGATACTTCACTTAGAATAATGGTCTCTAGTTCCATCCAACATTTGATAGCTTACGTCCCCTCTGTTGTTCAGTTCGAAGAATCTTTTGATTTCCATCCTAATTTCATTATTGACCCAGTAATTGTTCAGCAGCAGGTTGTTTAATTTCCATGACTTTGTGTAGAATTGAGTGTTTCTCTTGGAGTTGATTTCTAATTTTATTCCACTGTGGTCTGAGAAGATACATGGTATGATTTCTACTTTTTTTAATTTCTTGAAACATGCTTTGTGGCCTAAGATACGATCAATCTTGAAGAATGTTCCATGTGCTGATGAAAACAATGTATATTCAGTAGTTCTGGGGTAAAATGTTCTGTAAATGTTAGGCCCATTTGTTCTAGAATCCCGTTTAAGTCCCGTGTTTATTTATTTATTTTCTGCTTGGATGATCTGTGCAGTTCTGTTAGTAGGGTTTTTAAGGCCCCAGAAATTATGATGCTGCTATTTATCTCTTTGCTTAGATCTAGTACGGTTTGCTTTATGAATCTGGGCCCTCCTGTGTTAGATGCATAAATATTTAGGATATTTATGTTCTCTTGTTGAATTGCTCCCTTTACCGCTATATAATGACCATCTTTGCCTTTCTTTATTATCATTGATTTAAAGTCAATTTTGATATGAGAATGGCTACACATGCTTTCTTTTGGTTCCCATTTGCATGGAATTTTTTTTTTCCATTCCTTCACCTTGAGTCCGTATGAGTCCTTGTGTGTTAGATGTGTTTGCTGGATACTTGGGTTGTATTTGCTCATCCATTCAACCAGCCTACGTCTCCTGAGTGGGGCATTCAGACAGTACATGTTGATTGATGAATTGATATGTGGGACGCTGTTCTGTTCATCCTGTTGGGTAGTATCTTCATTGTTTTGTTTTACCACTTGTGCTACTGTTTCATATGAGCTCTGAGCTTTAGCTTTTTGGGTGGTTTTACTCCGGTGGGTGTCTACTACACTGATCCATGTATAATGTGGTTCTGAGTATTTCCTATAGAGCAGGTCTGGTCTTGACAAATTCCCTCAATGTTTGCTTGTCTGAAAAAGTCTTTATGTCTCCTTCATATATGAAACTTAGTTTTGCAGGATACAAAATTCCAGGCGGGCAGCTGTTCTGTTTATGAAGACTGAAGATGGGGCCCCAATTCCTTCTGCCTTGTAAGGTCTCAGTTGAGAAGTTGCACTTACCCTGATGGGTTTTCCTTTGTAGGTAACTTGATATTTTCACCTCACGGCTAACAGAAGTTCCTCCCTCCTGTTGACTTCGGCCAGTCTGATGATTATGTATCTTGGTGACTGCCTCTTTGCAATGAATCTCCCAGGTGTACTTTGAGCTTGTATCTGGATGTCTATATCTCTAGAAAGACCAAGGAAGTCGTCCTCAATTTCCAGCCCTTGTACATTTTTTTCTTCACCCTCAGGGATGCCTATGATTCTTATATTTGGCCATTTTACATAATACCATATTTCTTGTAGGATTCATTCATTCCTCTTAATTCTCTGTTCTTTATTTTTAACTATTTTGAAAGAGTTGTCATCAAGCTCTGAGATTCTTTCTTCTGCCTGGTCTAGTCTATTCTTAAAACTTTCAACTCTGTTTTGTATCTCCTTAAATGAATTTTTCATTTCTAGAAGTTCTATTTGGTGTTTTTTTTTTTTAATATGTCAACATCTTTAGTGATTTTTTCATTCATTTCCTGAATTCGTTTTGTGGTTTCTTTTAGTTTTCCATTTTCTCTTGGATTTCATTGAACTTCCTTACAATTCATATTTGGAATTCCGTATCTGTCATTTTAATATTTTTATTTTGGTTGGTATCCATTGCTGGAGAGCTGGTGTTCCCTTTTAGGGGTGTCCTTTTGCTCTGATTCTTCATACTTCTGGAGTGCTTTCACTGATTCCTACTCATCTGGGACAGCTGTCACTTATTAATTTTTGAATTTTCTTTTGTTTAGATGGTGTTTCTTCCTGCCACACACTTATAAAGGACTGTCTGTAGCATATGTTGGGTAAGAACCTTTGGCTTTGTCAGTGGGTGCTTTGATGGCAAACTAGGCTCTGGATGGATGCCTTGGTTATGGATATCCTTAGTATGATGGTTTTCTCAGCTGCTAGTTGTTTGTAGGTGACAGCTGTGGTGAACTATGTGTGTGGGCAGATTCCCTGTCTCTCTTTGATGCGGGAGGATGGGGATCTTTGAAATCCTTTCTCACCCTCTGGTCTTCTTAACAGTGTGAATTGTACTGGCACACCCAGTTTAATCTCTGAGACAGCAGGTGGTGCTTGTGGGTAAGAATCAACCACCCTTTGTATGATTCAGTCAGTAAATGCTGTAAAGGACTGT